TGGGGGCACCTGGATTACTAATAAACGGCTGAATATTTACTCCTTCCCATCCCACGGTTGACGGATCTCGCTGAGCCGTTAAAATCTCCTTGCTGAAAGCTCCGATTGACAAAAGGATCAAACTCCAAAAGTCAGCATTCGTACAGGGGGCCTTGGGGAGGAAATTGAGGAGGCAGTTGATGCACCTGCGACTGAAGATGTTCATTGTCTTCACTAATCCATCACTGGAATTTCAGACAACACAGGTGCTCAGACGGTACATACACAGGAGATTACTGCTGATTCATTGCATGTCTAGAGCTTAGAGAACCTCTGAACACAGCTCAAGAACTATTTCTAACGCTTGCCTAAATATACAACCATTTGACACTTTAGACAATTGAGATGCTCATTGTGATGTTTAATTGTCATTTCACAGCAATAGAGAAAGATTAAACTTAAACTGAATGACTATTCTCTCTCTCAACATTGGCTGATGTCTTCAGCTTATTATTGGTTTAAACCTTAAAGCTAAATTATTTAAGTTAAATGTCTTCATTCAAAAGAAACTTAAAAATGACCTGTTCACTAAAAACAGCTAAAGTGAAGGTGCCTGAAAGTTGTATTCTATCTAATGGCCACCAGGGGCCGAGTCCGCGGGTTGAACAAAGAAGTCATTAGAAAATGATTTATTCCCTCCAGTAAACATTGTAAACTCAGTCTCTACTTTCATGTCTTCTTCATTGCTGATATATATTCATTGACGTCATCGATCGTGCTCTACTACCGTTGTCTTTGCCTTTTTCCAGACACAGCCACCCAGAATAGATCGCAACCTCTATGAAAAGATGTTCAATTTGGACCCTTCAAACTGACCGTAGTTTGAATCAGTTATTATAAATGTATTATAAATGGTGCTGTATGCCTGCAGTGGGGCTCACTCAATGCGTTGCATTTTTGTCGACAAGTTTCATGAGGAAAATATGAGATTGGCGTTGAGCGAGATGAGTTATGAAACCTACCATGAAAAAGCCTTCTGCAGAAAAGAATCGTCCCGTCTTTGCCGTCTGTATTCCAAGAACTGGACTCTGTAATCTCGCTGAATAGTGATGCAGAGTCTGTTTACATTGAGACGGGGGTCAAACATCTCAGATGGCAGAATTGTATATTGATCAAGATGGACTGAGGCCTAGTCAACAGAAAGACCTGGGTCGAGACCAAGTCAGGTCCAAACTGGTGCGAGTGCCCCACTGCATGACACACTTTTGGGAAGATGCGGTACGCACACTGTATCTCACAAGGAGACTATTGCAAAAGGTTATACGGTTGTTTCAAAGACCCAAATTAGTGTGTCCACAACAAATTCTCATTCTCAAAAATACAACTTTCTCTGTTTCCTGGAGCCATACCAGAAAATCTGTTGAGTATATCGTAACGTGTCCTCGGTGGCTGCGAGAGAGATCGATAAATGTCAGAGAGGAATTAATGTCCTGTTATTTTGGCCACCTGCGTCCACAGACGCACAAACACAAACACACACGGAGAAAATCTAATTCTGCCAGCTCCGTTTCTTCAAGCACACATCTGCCTTCACCCCGAAAATTGAGCTTGTGCATTTGTCGAGGTCCGTCCCGGTGCTCCTGGTGTTTCTGGAGAAACTGCTAGTGGCACCTAAACAAGGAGAGTTGTGCTCCGGGGGGATTCAGGGTTGGGGGACTTAGGAGAGCGAATGGGAGGAGGGGAGTTGGAAAGAGAGAAGACGTTTGTCCTCCGCCTTTGCTCTTACCACATGAGAAACGTCCGACCGGCACACAAAATGACTCATTTCCAGCGACTCCGTTTAATGATTCAACTTCCTGCCAGTTGTGTTTTCTGATCATAACACCAGCTCACTTCCCTTCCAACATGGCCGACATGTGTCCGATTCTCCAGTCGCAGAGGCGTCCTCGCTTTTCCGATCTGAATTTCCTGCCGCTTCTTTTGCGCAAACAATGAGAACTTCATTCGACTCCTCCTTTGTTTTTTGGGAAAATCCCCCCCCATCTCTTTTGGGGTTTTGGGGGGGGGGGGGGGGGGGGGGTTACCATACAAGTAGACCTTGGCCGTCCTGGTTTGAGTGCTCCGGGGGTTCTTTGAATCGCCCGCGTGGCTCTATTTCACGCCGTTGTCTGCTGATGGTGATTAACTGCCCGCGCTCGGGCCTCGGGTGGTTTCCGCTTTGTGTGAAGAGCTCTGGCTGCAGCAGCCTTGGACGGGACGGGACGGGGGGGGTGTGTGCAGGATTGGAGGGTCAGCTGATCAGCTCCGAGGTACGGGGAGATTTATGACCCCCCCCCACCAGATCAAAGCGGTGTCTGCAGAGGGACCCATAAACAATAAATCAGGGAGAAGCGGGTCGGATCGGGTCAGTCGTCGGCGGCTCGCTGCGGATCAGCTCTCTCTCACACCTAACTATGTGACTTTTTGGGGTCCTTTCACCGGGACAGGTAGGCAGACCTGTGGTTATCTTCTGTGCCGTTCCACTCCGCGGCGTCTCGGCCGTCAATCACGTCTGCTAATGAGTTCCTGATTCATATTTCCAAATGCCATTACCTTCTCGTAAGTGAATCACCCCTAATCCTTTCATTATCTCCAGCTATGTTAACACTGTGGCCCTTTAGTCTTTGCTCATTTTAATCATCCTAATTATGGCATGTTTGTCTTTTCAAGGGGGCTGATGGGAATGAAATGAGATGTTCTCGCTCCGGCACCGACGGGTTACTCTCCGCTCCGTCTGACTGCAGCCCGTTTGATTCCGATCACCGCTTTGACTACTTTTGTGATTCCTCTTCCTCTGGTCAGCGGGAGCCAATGTGAGAAATTGATTTCCCGCAGAAGGATTAGCAGTGGGGTTACCGCTATAGGCATGCATTACATTACAGTGATTTATTCGGCAGCTGCACCCGTAAAGTAGGCTAAACACAACACTTGTGCAAGACGGATACTTTACAAGAACAGGAAAAGGTGCACAGCAGGCCGCGGGGTCGGGGCAGTGGGCGACGGGCCCGGCAGCAGCAATGAATATCTCCAAGCAGTTTTTCCACCTTCACGCAGCCCGAGCAGGGAGATAAATAGTATCAGCCAGGAACGATGGAGTTTAATGTATTTGTGTCTGTGTTGTTGCAGCTGCCAGATTTATTTATTATGGGAAGTAAAAAAAAACACCAGAGCTCAACAAAAGGCAAAAAGTGACCTGTGCAGATGAAAGGACTCCAGAGCGTTGATGTGCAGCGTTTCTTTGGCTTTTCACACCGTCCAGTTCCACGTCGTGGTCGGCCATCGCGAGCCGTTCTGTCGCCGCGATGGCTTTTACTGTAATGGGTTACGCAAAATGCATAATCAAGTGTCCAAGGTCAGCTATCGGGCCTGCGTGTGTTAACACGGCCGGCCCGTCTCAGTGGAGCATTAGTCTGTGGTTCAGGACGTAACCGGTAAAGTGTTGTTTTTCCCTTTCAAAATGGTTCCCACAGCAGAATTGTGGCATTATTACCTGATTGTGGAGAGCAAAGGACTGCAGCCTTTTTACGACCACCAACAGTCTGAATGGTGTGAAAACAACATACGGGGAGACATATATGTAATTGTAAATGTACCGTTTCTGACATGGACCCAACCACACATTTCTGTGGGCTGCAGTCAGACTTTTAGGCTTTAATTTTGGCCCCGAAAGGTTCTGTAGACAGAAGAAGTCGGTTGTACAGTTTTTGTTATAAGATATTTCAATCTAATTCTCCACTGATGATGATGTCAGATATAGAATAGTTGTTTGGTTTTCAACAAGACATTGCTGTATTCCATGTTCAGATGTAGGAGATTTTTCATTCACATATTCTCGTAGAATATTTAAACACTCATAATTGTGCTGATGCACAGCCTTGACAATATATAGTTCAAATCACAATTTAATTGAATCCTCTGAATGATGGAATTCGGCGCTGTTCCTCTGGCAGTTTGTCTCCAGAGAGACCGCTGTGCTTTGAAGCAAAATATTCCATTGTGTTTGGAATTCAACATCAGGCGTGCATCTGTTCTATGGTTTTAACTCATAGACATCATCGAGCGTGATCATTTCTCCCAAGACAGCCTCGAATGAGCTGTAAAGTCATATGCAGCGAATTGATGGCCTTATGCTTAGTGGGAAATAAATTTCGTACGGAGGGGAAATTTTAAAGTGACGGCATAAAACACGTCGAGAGGCCGTCTGGATTTGAAGGCATTTTTGGACACACTACCGCCGTGCATTTGGACAAAAGGGACATATTGTTCATTCTTAATGAGCAGCTGATGAATTGAAGGTAGTTTAATTGCAAATTGTCCTCTGCTGAATAGATCAGATGGGCAGGTCAGATTTTAAGCACGGCGCTGGGCTTTAATAACCCACGTGTAGAAATGGGAAGAGATAAACGGCCATCAAAGTCTCATTTCGGTGCAGCGTTCAACAATCAAGTGCAGATGAGGTGCTGGATTTTACTGTGAAGCGTGACCTCTGACCCCTAAACACGAGGGGACGGGGGAAAGGAGCCAGAGAGCGCAGAGGGCCCCTCAGTATTCCACCTTTCGGGTGCTGGCTGATAGATGCATTTCATTTAAGTTCATATTTAAATGTCGAGCGGGTTTTTCCACATTCACCCTTACTGATTGTTTCATAAAACCTTTTTGTTTTCATTTTTTCATGGATCCACGAACAAGCAGCGTCTGTTCTCTCTCAGCTCTACTTGTGTTGTGATTGACGGCGTCGACAATGAAGCGATCGCTCAAAAGATACTGTTTCCCCCTTTAGAAACAGAGTGTATAGTTGTATTGATTCCCTTTTGACCACTTGAGATGTGTTGTGCTAAAAGTTGTTATTGAAAAAGCAATAAACACAATTGAGCAATTAAGTCATAGAAAAAAAAGCAAAACCAAAAAGAACTTGACTTTAATTGTCATCCATGAAATGATACATTTTCAAGATCTAAGTGATTTTCTTTTGTGTTTTGTAGCTGACATACTGCAGTGAGCCTCGACGTTCGAAGCCAGAGTCCCGGCCGGTTTCAATGGCATTCAGCCAGATACATTATTAATGTCAAGGTGAGAATGGAAGAATGCAACACACACACACACACACACACACACACACACACACACACACACACACACACACACACACACACACACGTGCTTTATCTCTTTCTCAATAGCGGCCTGTCACTGATTTAGTACAAATGCAGCGTTCTGCTGCCTGCAGCCAAACTGGGGCGGCTCTCTTTAATGGCAGCGCAATCCTGAATGTTAAAGAAAAGGTTCAACACTTTGTGAAATACAAATTTCCGCTGTCTTGCCAAGAGTTAGATAAGAAGATTAATACCAGTCTCAGTTTAATTAAATATACTAATTGATGGTTCTCCATTTACAATGTACATTTCTGAACCGCCAAGTCCAAAATTCTTGAGTTCAGAGCAGGCGGGTGTGAATATGAATAATTATGTTGTTTGCAAATGGCGTTTTCTTTACAAAAAAGGCTCCTGTGCTGTTTTTTTTCTTGGACGGGCAATGGAATTTCCCGGAGTCTCCACTAGTTGCCTGGCAACCTCACTGTGACTCCAAGACAGAGGCAGGCCAGCTGTTTCCTCCTGCTCCGTTATGCTGAGCTAAGCTAACCAGCTGCTCACTGTGATCTTCTCATTTAACTCTCCTCAAGAAGAGCATTGTTGTTTTGAAAAAGGTCGAGCTATCTGCTACCTTGTGTTTACTTCATAAAGGTGTATTTCGTCACCTTAACGCACATGCATCGTCAAATAATGCTCCATTTTGAGTGAAATAGACCATCAAGTGGAGTAGCCTTTGGGCCAGGGGTCCAAACCTCTTTTTAGTTTTGGCCCAAATAAAGGGGGGGGGGGGGGGGGCGGCGGTTTCATTATGTAGCTATTAACAGATCATTTTAAGCCAATGCAAATAATAAGTTAAATAAAATATGCTAATTCATTTGATAATGTATTCACTTTTTTGCCACTACATCCCCCCAACTGCTACACATTGACTTCATAAAGCATAATTCTGATTATATTGAGTCCAACCACACAGTCAGAGCTAAAAACCAATTAAGTGCATATTTTCTTTAGATTTTTAACTGAATTTGTTATGAATAAGATATAATCCAGCTTCAATAGTCTGTATATTTAGAGGAAAAAATGTTGAAATGGAAGCCTATTTTAGTGGGAATGCGTCAAACACTTAAGAAATCATCACTTTCAATATTATATTCAAATATTCCCAAAAGTGTTTATATCAGGCTGAAGCAGCGAAAGTGGGCCTCCAATAATAGGATAGAACCCAGCAGGGGACAAATATATGCAACACAATAAGAAGTAACACAGTGACGACAACTGTGACCAAGCAGCATCTTTTCGTCTCTCATTGGCAAAGTTTGAATGTCATCTTCTGAAAGCTGATGTGAGTCAAGGTCCCCTGATACTTTTCCACAGAATTACTTGACTCAAGCGATGTGACTGGCCCGGAGGCTTCGCAGCGCGCCAGCATCCGGCCGTAACGAGCAGAGAACGTGCGCTTTCTTAATGTAGCCCACATTAGTATTTGCTCACTGCAGAACTTAAGGAAAATTGCAGCTGTGCGCCTGCCAAATCCTAGTCCACCGCTCCAAGAAATACTCCAAGAAATACCTTTTGTCGAGTGATGTTGTCTGGTGACACTGGTAAAGTGACACGTTAGCTGTTCAGACGCCGGGGCAATGAATGTGCAACAAAAAGCTTTTCTTTTTCTATTGATCCGCCGTTCATCCCTATTTGTTGGAGTCATGGAGCGGGAAAAAAGCCCTCTAATTCCCCTTTCTGAGCTATTCTATTCATGCATTTACTATGCCATATATATTACGTGTCAAATTATTATCTCTGCCCGTAGTCAACTTGGTTTACCAAATAAATATTCATTTAAAAAAAAAAAAAATATATTTTATTGATAAAAAAAAAGGTGTGAACAACACAAAGGAATGAGAAGTCGTCACTAACCCGAAGCAGCTTCATGCACATGCGAGGTCACACTGCATGATCGGCCATCGCCGCTTCGCCCGCCCCCACCTCCCCCCCACCGGCTGCCTTTGTGTCCTACGTGTGAGCAGGTGGAGACAGAGGCAGCGGCGAGGTGCACCGGAGAGATTAGCTGGGAAATTGACACTGACAAATCTCATACATTACGGCTCTCTGGGAGGCAGCTATCGGTGGAAGAGGCGGCAGGTAGCGCGTCCCGCGAACGCCACCGGGTTTCTTTTAAAGCTCTGCAGTACGACAGGAAGCCGAGAACCCACCCCGTCGTCTACAGGCACCGGAGATAAGGAAAGCCAGGTGTGCACAGAGACATTTCATTTGACTAATGTGTTTACAGCTAGAATAATGAATAGAGTGAGCAAGATGAGAGTAATTAATTAGAGCTGTTCTAGCTAAATAACAAAGCAAATACAGGCAAAACTGTTTCATTTCCCATTGGAAATGGACTTTTTTTTCTTTTTCTTTTTTTTTCTTGCCTGCTTTGATGAGATAAACTGAGCCTTCTTTGATAAGGAGTCCTAGTTACGAGGGTGTGAGCCACATACAGCATTTACATACCTTACCTCCATCTGTTCTCAGAGCCTAAAAATATGACCTCATTTTTTGCTTTATTGAAAAACAATATTCATATTTTTCTTCAAACAATAGAAAATAGCTAGCTTTAAGACTCAGATTTAACCCCTTCTCACTCAGTGATACCTTTTTTAAAACCGTTTACACGCTGCATGTTTCTTTACATTCTTGAGAGCAAAGAGTCCAATCAGCGACCGCTTGGCCTCTGCAGCCTCACTACTCGACGCCCGCCGAGCGCCATTCCCAGGGACCTGACCCCCGCCGTGCGTTCCCTCTATCTCTTTATTTATTTTGGACAGTGAAGTTGTTTTCCTGAAGAACAAAAAAAAATGGGCCTGCGCCCCGCTGTTGCCTGGCAACAAAGTCAGCCCATGGGAACATTGCACCTTGCAGGATCTCTTCCAAATCGCCTTAAAACTCCTCTTTAGGATGAGCGAAGAACGTTTATTTGTGTTTATTTTTGCCAATAATGAAGTGCAATTTTAAATTAGCACAGCACAAAAAGCCCATTTTTTCCTCCTTTTTTCACGGTGGCTTTCTGTCACAATGAAAACTAATTAACTTGTTACTTGGCCAATGAGGACGCCACAGCATGAGTGCATATTTGGTTACTGGTACTTTGGCTATATTAAAAAAGGATCAATTTGAAATCCCTCTTGCAATATTACAACAATCTAGAGGTTTACTTTTATACCAAGCAGAGCTCTTCTACAATAACATTGTACGGAAGCATCTTAGCAGCAGCTTCCCACGGACTCACAATGGTGAATTAATCTGACTTTTTCATTATGCTGGTTCATCAAGGAGACAAACTGGTTAAATATTCATGAGTGCGTTGTGTTCTCAAAATAAGGCTCATTAGCACTCAAAGTCTCTTTTCAAGTTCCGCCTTTCTCGTGTCAGTCTCAAAAGAGCAACACAAACATGTTATTCTTCTCCCATAATCTCTGCCCTCAGAGCTGCCTCTGATATTGCGCCGAGTGATGCCTTTATTTTGAAGTCAGACCGACTCTGATGCAGTTAGATTTTGATTCCTGCTCAACTACCTGAAAGGTGATCGATCGAATCAGTTTAAGCAAGTAAAAAATGTTGGTGCTATCTGAATCGATTGCTTAAAGCAATGGGAAGATGCGCTCCTAACGGGATTACAAATACCTTCTATCCCCCTTGAAGATGAATAAAATCGCGCAGCACGGCGGCTCAGCGGGTAAATTTCAAACCTCCTCGTGTGAAACTGCACGACGTCCTCTCGTCCATCAGCATGTCCTCCGGCCGCACAGTTCAGGAGATTAAATTCTCACGATTGGGTTGCCAACCGGTCCAGGGGGTGAACCCTGCTACTCTTTATCAGGCATGAAAATCCCTCACCTTCCGGCGAAATTTGCCGTTTTGAAACCAAAATAGGTGACCTGCGAACAGATGCGCGTGTCAGAAGGGAGCGCGAGATTCAGTGAATTGTCGAACAGGGTGAGTGATGGTTTTAATATTTTCTGGTATATCCAAGTTAAGTTACCCAGGAGCTTTGTTGACATAGACTTAGCTAACGTTAGCTACAGCTTGATGAATTGACTCATTTAACACAGCAGGAGAGACTGCGACGTTGGCCAGCTAGCTAAAGCTCCGGTGGGAAATGATTAGCTAACGCTACCGTTTTTGAGGACGTAGATTTTGAGGTGAGGGGACTGACGAGGAAGGTAAAGTGGTCCACCGTTCTATCAATAAGCAGACCTGCCAACCTGATACGCATTCTGACTTCAAAGTACGATAAACGAATCATTGACCCGAAGACACGGTCGGGAGGTGAATTTATCCCCCCCGTCAACGAATGACTTGAAGAAAGATTCGTTCATTTTACTGAACGAGATTCAAAGAAGAACCGAGTCGGTAAAATGGTCGGTAATATCTTAGCCTCCCCACCCCCCTGTCAACGAATGACTCTCTGGGACAAAACCAGTTGAAAACCCCTGCCCTAGAGGGGTAATATCCTTCTCACCTTTTTCACCCTTGACCCGTTTTCATGCCTGCTTTATGACCACAGTACAGCCTGAAGCCCCCGCCGTCCTGCTCTGGCCAGGGGGGGCAGAAAATGGATGGAAATGTCGATGGATGGACGGATGGACGGATGGTTAATTTTCATAACATCTGTTACATTCAGTACTAATCCAGTTACAAGAATGACGAGCAGTTCCAGCATGTGGGGCCCTTCAGTGTAGCAGCTTTACAGTGGGGAAAAACGATTATATTCCTTCCTTTTGGGATTTAATGCAGTAAATTGTCATAGAGCAGTACACCTTGAAAAATTCAACATTTTTCAATGTCCAACATGATGTCTTCCAATAACTTGTTTGACCAAACCTACGGTCTATCCCGCTGTAAAGAAGACATTATACTAATGACTAAGACCACGCAGCTTGATTGGAAGCAGAAACTTCAATGACCTAATTGTTTGAGTCGAAG